CCCAATTCCCCAATAAAAAAATCTTAAAAAAATATATTAAAAAATATGAATAATAAAATGGCAATAACTACATATGTACCCACAATTAGTTTAAATGTAAATGGATTAAATGCTCCAATCAAAAGACATAGGGTGGCTGAATGCATAAGAAAACAAGACCTTTACACATGCTGCCTACAACAGATGCACTTCAGATTGAAGGACACACAGTTTGAAAGTAAAGGGATGGAAAAAGATATTTCATGAAAATGGAAAAAAAAAGAAAAAGAAAAAAACCTGGGGTAGCAATACTTATACCAGACAAAATAGACTTTAAAACAAATGTTATAACAAGAGACAAAGAAGGACCCAGTAATTCCACTTCTGGGTATTTATCAGAAGAAAGCCAAAGCACTAATTCAAAAAGCCATATGCATCCATATGTTCAGTGCAGGATTACTTACAATAGCCAAGACATGGAAGCAACCTAACTGTTTATCAATAGATGAATAGAGAAATAAGTAGTTCATATATAGAATAGAATAATACTCAGCCATAAAAAAGAATGAAATCTTGACATCTACAACAACATGGGTGAGTCTAGAGGATATTATGCTAAGTGAAATAAGTCAGACAGAGAAAGACAAATACCATATGATTTCATTCCTATGTGGAATCTAAAAAACAAAATAAATGAACAAAACAGAAACAAACTCATAGATACAGAGAACACTTTGTTGCTTGCCAGATGGGATGGGGGTTGGCGGCTGGGTGAAAAAGGTGAAGGGATTAAGAAGTACAAATTGGTAGTTAGAAAATAGTCATTGGGATGTAAAGTACAGCATAGGGAATTTAGTCAATAATTTTATAATAACTATATGTAGTGTCAGATGTGTACTAGATTTATAGAAGTGATCATTTCATAAGTTACATAATGTCTAATGACTCGTTGTTAACCTGAAACTAATATTTAATGTCAATTGTAATTGTAAGATAAAAAATTATTTTAAAAAAAGATGAGAAACAAGACAAGGATGTCCACTTTCACCACTCTTATTCATCATAGTATTGGAAGCCCTAGCCATAGCAATCAGACAGGAAACCAAATAAAATGCTTTCAAATTGAAAAGAAGTAGTAAAATTGTCATTATTTGTAGATGACATAATACTATATAGAGAGAACCCTAAAGAGACCACCAAAAAATTTTTTGCAAATAATTTATAAATTCACTACAGTAGAATACAAAATTAATATTCAAAATACAGTTGCATTTTTATACAGCAATAACAAACCATCAGAGAAATTAAGAAAATATCTGATTTATATCTACAGCAAAAAACAAAACAAAACAAAAACCTGGGAATCAATTTAACCAAGGAAATAAAAGACCTGTACTTAAAAACTATAGACATTGAAGAAAGAAACTGAAGATTTAAATAAATGGAAGGTTATATACTGTGCTCATGGATAGAAAGAATTAACTTCATTAAAATGTCCATACTACCCAAAGTAATCTATAGATTCAATGCCATCCCTAGCAAAATACCAATGGCAGTTTTCACAGAAAGAGAACAAATAATCCTTAAATTTAAATGGAACCAAAAAAATACCCTGAATAACCTAAGCAATCTTGAGAAAGAAGAACAAAGTTGGAGGTATCATGCTACCTGATATCAAACTATACTACAAGGCTATAGTAATTAAAATGAAATTGTACTGGCATAAAAACAGACACATAGAGTGCGAATAGAGAGCCCCAAAATAAGCCCACACCTACATGGTCAATTAATCTATGACAAAAGAGGCAAAATTATACAATGGGGTAAAGACAGTGTCTTCAATAAATGGTGTTGGAAAAACTGAACAGATACCGGCAAAAGAAGAAGGAGAAGGAGAAGGACAAGAAACTAGACCACTTTCTTATACCATATACAAGAATAATCTCAAAATGGACTAAAGACATAAATGTAAGACCTGAAATCATAAAATACCTAGAAAAAAACATAGGCTGTAAACTCTTTGACATCGCTCTTAGCAATGTTTATTTTGGATATGGCTCCCCAGGCAAGGAAAACAAAAGACAAAATGAACAAATCGGACTACATCAAACTAAAGTCTTGCACAGAGAAGGAAACCATCAACAAAATGAAAAGAGAACCTACTGAATGGGAGAAGGTATTTGCCAATGACACATCCAATTAAGGGTTAATCCAAAACATAAGGAACTATACAACTTTAACATAAAAAAAAAATCCCATTAAAAAATGGGCAGGGAACGTTTCTCCAAAGAGGACATACAGATGGCCAATGGATGTATGGAAAGATGCTCAATATCACCAACCATCAGGAAAATGCAAATTAAAACCACAGTGAGATATCAACTCACACCTGTCAGAATGGCCATCATCAATAAATTGACAAACAACACATGTTGGCAAGAATGTAGAGAAAACGGAGTCCTCATACACTGTTGGTGGAATTGCAAATTGGTGCAGCCACTATGAAAAACAGTTTGGATGTACCTCAAAAAATTAAAAATAGAGCTACCATATGACCCAGCAGTTCCACTTCTGAGTATTTATCCAAAGAAATTCTAAACACTAATTTGAAAAGATATATGCTCATTGCAGTATTATTTACAATAGGCAACATATGGAAGCCACTCAACTGTGCGTCAATAGGTAAGTAGATAAAGAAGATGTGGTACATATAGAGAATGAAAATTTACATAGCCATAAAAAATGAAATCTTGCCATTTGTGATAACATGGATGGACCTAGAGGGTATTATGCTAGGTGAAATAGTCACACAGAGAAAGACAAATACCATATGATCTCACTTATATGTGGAATCTAAAGAACAAAATAAATGAACAAACACACAACAGAAACAAACTCATAGATACAGAGAACAAGTTGATGGTTCCCAGATGGAATCGGATTGGGAGGCTGGGTGAAAAAGGTGAAGGGATTAAGAAGTACAAATTGGTAGTTATAAAATAGTCACAGTGATGTAAAGTACAGCAAAGGGAATATAGTTTATAATACTGTAAAAACTATTTATGGTGTCAGATGGGTACTAGCCTTATTGGGAGATCAATTTTTTAAGTTATATAAATGTCCAGTCACTATGTTATACATCTGAAACTAATATAACATTTAATGTCAACTATTATTGAAAAGAACAGTTAATTCAATAAAAATGATATGAGAATAATCTCAAAAGAAAAAAAAGAAGAAAAGAAAGATAAGTCCTTCTTCTTCTCCTCTTCCCCAGAGAAGATTTGCTTATACTCCAGAGTAAAGATATAGTGTCTTTACAGTTTGGAGGATAGGGAGGTCACCAGCAGACCTATTTTCAGAGCTGAGTTTTTAATACTTGGAGTTCTTCTCTTGTAACACCACTGCACATGCAGGTACCATCTGTTTCTTACCATGGTACTCTGTTATGACTGAGGCTCAGGGAACTTATAAAAGATGTTTCTCTAGCTGCAGTTTTTACTGTCAATAATAAACTATCTTTGTTTCTGGCTCAGAGGCCAGTTTTCTGTCAACATATATACAAACAAAAGTGTGGCAGGCTATTAGCTTGTAAGAGGGGAAAAAAATCTCAGATCCTGCACAGTGTCTGACTCAAGAGTTGCCCCTTGGTAAATTCTTCAAAAGAGTAGAAAAATCAATTATCATGAGAAAATAGAGTTACTTAGCTAGCTAAACTTGATTACACTGATCCTTGGGATGTATTCTCCTAGTTTAGACTTAGGCCAACTAGGATGTTGGACAGCAAGTAATTTCCAAATATTTTTTATAGTAATTATGATTGTCCTTATGTTTTTTTGCTTCTTTGACATCTAATATCCAGGTATTTAAATGTTGTTACAAAGCCATTATCCTGAGCACTATTCAACTAATAATATCCTTCTTCAAGTGGCTGAAGACCTTGTGGTCAGTCAGCATGGGGGCTGAGTTTGAACAAAAGGGAAGAATTGATAAATTCTAACAAGAAAATGGTACAGACCTGACATAACTCAGATGGAAGTATTCCCAAATGATGGTAAACATAATAAACAAATGCCTTTTACATATGTCACAAATTAAACAACTAAGGTCTTCTGGAGAAGCCATAAATAACTAAAACTGGTTTAGTTGATGATTCATAAAACTGATCGGACTCATTACAGTATCTTACTCAGTGAAAGGAAAACACAAAGTTCATTATTTAGAAAGTGTCTGTGGTTTTTTTTTTCCTTTGGTTTTTCCTCTTTCATATATAAATTATGCTTCTGAATTTGTTAGGTAAGATCAATATATTATTGGTTTACTTTGTAGTCAAGTAAATAATGTGGTAATAATTAACTATGTCTTCGAGTTATTCTTTGACAGGTAGTAATAAAGCACTGTGGATACTATACTATCTTGTGTTGTTTCTCTATACCCTAGATAAATAGTCCACTTATTAAAAATTCCTCAAACTTTCCTATCTTGAATATGTCATGTATATCCTGTTCTAAACCTAAAAGATACATTTTTTAAGTATTAATATATTTAATCCTCTCAACAACATATTATCCTCATTTTAAAGATAAGGATATAAAGCACAGAAACTTGTTACTTTTCTAAGACCCAACAGCCAGGAAGAAGTAGAATTAGTATTTGAATCCCAAAGAATCTGACTCTAGCATTCAAAATGAAACACAAGGAGGAAACAGAGAGAAAATACAAACAAAACCAACAGTGTAGAAGTATACAAACAAAAAAGTATAAGTGTAATAACATCTTAGTTTTCTAGCAACATTAAAAGTGGAAATACTATCACAAGTTTGACATCAAAAAAGAACAAACAACAATAGTATATATTTAAACTATTATTTTCCTTATACCATTTTTTTATCTAATAAAAATCCAGGTAAAGGGCTTCTTTCCATTTGTAGAACTTCCTTGAGTATTTTAAAGGAAATATCTAAATATATCAAACATATTAGATAAGTAATACAAATTAGAAAGAATGTTTAGCTACTTACATTCCATACGCTGAGCTTACAGCAAGACTAGTAATCTGTTGGGGAGGTTCACCATCCACCCACACCAACTGAATAACAAGTTCTGCTTGATACCCTGGAGGCATCCGCACTGGTCGTGTCTTAACACTAGAAAAAAAAAAAGAGAAAAAGGAGTTCTATTACATACAGTTGAAACACGTATAATTTACATAGAATCTTCCTACAGAAATATATACCACCAGGCATTCAGGGCAGTATGCAGGAGGTGGATAATGTCTTCTAGCTTTCTCAAAATACACCAAGCCACTTGTGATTGCTTAGGTTTCTTTCTTTAAGTAGCTGTTCAGTCAGTCAGGTCTACAACTTCAACTTGTCTTTATCACTTCTTTTTTTTCTTTTGAGAATAGTATTTTTAATTATTTACTTTGCTTATGAAATATTTGTTACAAATTTGTAAGTTATGATGCATAAAAATAAAAAAAGTTAATCTACCACCCAATGTAAGATTTCAACATACCCAAAACCTGAATTACTACTCTTTCCCTCTAAATTTACTCCACTTGCACCCTTCTCTATTCCAGTTGATAGCAACTATTATCCTTCCAGTTACTCACTTAAAAAAACTTTAAATCATTCTTGACTAATATTCTTCTCTCATATCACACATCCAATCAATCATCAAATGCTGATGGTTCTACCTTCAAAATATATTAAGAGTATGACACTGTTTATTCTTTACTGCTACCATGCTAAGTTCCAGTTAACAAATAAAAATATTGGATTCCATTTAAAACTGAATTTCAAATAAATAATAAACAGGTTTGGTTTTTTCACTATATGTAGGTCCCATGCAATATTTGAGATATACTGATACTAACAAAAATGTTCATTGCATATCTTAAACTCAAACTTAAATGAATACCCTGTGTCTTTATTTGCTAAATCCGCCAGCCCTCAACATCATCTCTAGTTAGCTGCAAATGGTCTCCTTTCTGGTTTCTGGGCTGCTACTCTTTTCTCCCATCTCAAAATCCATTTTCAACAGAGCCATCAAAGTGATCAATTTAAAATTTAAGGCTAATCATGTCACTTTGCTCTTCAAAACCCTATAACAACTCCCCATTTAATTAGAAATAAAATCCAAGGTCCTTAGAGAGCCTATAATTGGCTCTCTATTGCCAATCAGACTTAATTTCCTACTACCCTCTCTACTAACACCCACCTTGCTCCCTTTGTTCTAACTACACTGATCTCCTTATATAGTAGGCACTTTAAGGCCTTTGCTCTAGCTGTTCCTTCTGCCTAGAACACTATTCCACCAGGTATTCTTCAGGAAACTCCCTCACCTAACTTTTGTTAAAATCTCACCTCTTAGTAAGGCCTATGATGACCAACCATTTTATACACTAGGAATCACAAAGGGAAATTAAATAAATATAAAATCAATAATTGCATAAATATGTGTACATTGATAAGCATTATAATATTGCTAAAAATGAAGAGTAGGCCCGTTGAAATGCTTATTTATCAACTAATGTATATGGTAATCTAAATCCAGCAAAGGAAAAGTGATTTAGGGATGGATGCCAATGTATAATTTATCAAAGCATGGATTATACACAACTCAAAAACCACTATTAATATAATGTAATTCATAGAATAATACATTTACAACAGTTCTGCCATTTGGTTCCTAGGACCATAATACATAATACAGGATTATACTGATTTTTTCCCTTTTGTTCTCTTGATTATTCTTAACATGTCTCTACTACTTCTCAACATTAAATGCTGTTGTTATGCTTCAATACTGTTACTGCTTGCCAGATTTTTTACCAGATTTTTGTTGTATTCACTTTTTTTTTCTTTTATCTCTATCTTTTAAATTTTTAAAATTTTATTAAAAAATATTTAGGTCAGGGAGCATTTGTGATCTTGCTTCCCAGCATGTTGTCAATTTGGCTGAAATAAACTCTTACAAAATTCTCAAAAAAATTTTTTATGTATATATATGTATATTTTATTATAGATATATTATATATATTATATTTTTTATATATATATGTATATGTCATTGGAGGACCCACACTTTAATGATGGGTCTTGTTAGTTAATAAATCAATCTGCATTACTTTCTTCAGCTTTGTTGAGCTTTTTGTTCTCTTTCTGATTTTCATTTTAATAGGAATCAATTAAATGAAGCAAAGTTATATGAAGGGAAAATTAAACATATAACATTAAGAACATTTTCCATTTGTTAAAATTTTATGATGATGTTTCCTGTTTATAGATTTCCCTCCCATAATTCCTGCTTATATATTTTTTACTTCACAAGAAAAAATTCTGGAGGAAAAACAATGATTACAAATGTGTATCAACTATTAACGGTGTGGCAAACTGATTTTGTTTCTGTAATGTTATCTTTAAATTTTCCACATGTGTTTTCATAAGAAATGAGGAAACTAGTTGTCTGAAGTTCCTTGAGTAGCAGATTCATATATTTTCATATGAGGCTCAAAAAAATTCCTTGCTCAGGCTCAATTTTCCAACCCATTAAGACTAAAAACATTTGGTTTGATGATGTAGAAGCAGTAAGTAGTAATTTAAGGAGACTGCATTCTTTTATATCTAATTACTACAAAGCATAAAAACAATTAAGGAAATATTATGGGCTTGAGTAACTTTTATTTTTATTTGATTATGACTCTAAACTTTGTTTAGGTATACCGAGAGAATATAGTTTATTACCAAATATCATCAGCTAAAAAAGAAAAAGTCATGGGCCAGCCGAGTGGCGCCTTGGTTAAGAGTTGGCTTGGGGTGCCAGCTCTGAGCAGCAGGGCCCCCGGTTCGGATCCCACATGAGGGCCACTGATGCTGTGCCCTTTACAACTAAGATGGTGAACAACAGCTCGACCTGGAGTCGGGCTGCTGTGAGTCATGGGCCACAGCGTAGGCTGCATCGTGGCTGGCCAGCAGCTGGCGTGAGCTTCCCTGAGTTGCCGTGAGCGGCCGTCCAATGGCTGGCGAGTTACTGCCTCACTCAGGAAGAGCACAGTGAATAACAACATGGGCCAGTGAAGTGACGTCCTCTGCAACTAGACTTAAGAACAAAAGGACAGCAACTTGTCTGTTCCCCTTCCCTGATTCCCCAATAAAACATCTTAAAAAAAAAAAAAGTTCAAAAAGAAAAAAAAGAAAAAGTCATATTATACAATATCCTTGCAATCAAAGAGAAATTCTTTCTTCTAACACAGTATTTTTTTTTAAAGATTTTATTGGGGAATTGGGGGAGGGGAACAGACAAGTTGCTGTCCTTTTGTCCTTCAGTCTAGTCGTGGAGGACGTTGCTTCACTGACCCATGTTGGTATTATCATTGCACTCTTCCTGGGGGAGGCAGATCAGTCGCCGGCCTCTGGACAGGCGCTCATGGCGGCTCTTGACAGCTCACACCGGCTGCCAGCCGCTCACACTGGCTGCCGGCCACACATGGTAGCTCACAGCAGCCCACTGAAGCAGGGGCTGCAGCCTACACCATTGCCGGCGACTCATGGCAGCCCAGCTCCAGGTCAAGCTGTTGTTCACCATCTTAGTTGTAGAGGGCAATGTCACTGGCCCCCATGTGGGATCTGTACCGGGGCCCTGCTGCTTAGATCTGGAGTCCCAAGCCAGCTCTTAACCAACGCGCCACTCGGCCGGCCCCTAACACAGTATTCTTGTAGTAAATAGTAAACTTGGTTTTCTTTTTGATTCCAAGGCGGCTGAAAAAATTCCCTAAACATACTTTTTCATTTGGGAAATACCAAGCAAGTAGCCATGTTTGTACTCTGCCAAAGTTATCCTATTCTATCAAAGCCATATTTTCTTTAGGGTCCTTCTGGAAAGGAAATATAATGAATTAGTAAGTGAAGGATGAAAACATTGTGTCCTCTTTAGGGATGTTCAAAAAGACCAGGATATCTCCATGGTGGATTATAGATCACTTGACAAGAGCTTAATAAGAGAGAAGAATGATTTTATTTGACACAGTTTTAAATAATTATATTAGTAATATGTAAAATTGTTTAAAAATTTGATAGCAACTCTTACTTGAGGCATGGGATACTGTCCTTTGTGACTCCTTCACTAGCCACAGTGTTAGTACTTCCAGAAAGACTCCTTGAGGAAAGATGGGACGAGGGATCTGGAAATGGAGGACTTGTTTCTGGTTCCGGGGTAATAATATCTTCAATATCATACTGAAGTCGTACCTCCAATGACTTAAAAAAAAATCCAGTTTAATTTAAGTCATGATAATAAAAATAATCACACTAAAATAACTGATAATTTGTGGTGTTCATTATTTTTTCTGATTAGTAAGTTCAATTTCAATTTATAGTAAAGCTGAGATATTCCAAACTGAATTAAATAGTGAATTATATGAAAGAATCAATGACATCCATCAAAAAATGTAAAATACTCTTTAATTCTTCAGACTTATAAGAAAAATACCTACCAGTGGAGATAAAGTTTTAAAATAATATTCCTTAAGATAAAGTATAAATTACAATTCCATATATAAGAAAATAAAAAGAAAAATTAGTCATGTTTACTCTGATGGAAGAAATTAAACTGGATATGTGTATGTGTGTGTTTACAAATTGTTACTTGTACAGGTATTTAGTTTAAGGAAAAAACAAAACCTTCAATTTTGACTTTAACTCAGTAAAAAGTTTCCAAAAGAAATTCCATATTTTTATTAGTTTATTTCATTAGATTACCCCTTATTTGTTTAATTTCATTAGCTTGGTCAAAATTACTTAATGAAAAATATATGGTAATTTATATTGGATTAAAAACATGATCCCAAAACCTTCTTTTTAAAACTAAAAATGTTTTAAAATTAAGTATTTTATTATTGCATTCAATGCTTTAATTAAAATTGATTTTATAACATAAACATTTGCTTTACAATGTAAAAGTCAGCATTTTTTGAGATTGAAAACAACTGTTTACAAAAAAAGTCATTACGGGATGGTGAATATAGCAATATTACCAAAATGACCATCATAGTTAGCTTAAAACTATAACAAACCTCTAGTGACAATAACAATTATTAATTACTGAGTGCTTACTACACTTAGACACTGTCAATGACTTTATATAATCATCACAACCCTATAAAATTGGCATTTTTATTTCTAGTTTATTATTACTTTCCATTTTATTTACACAGGAAATTAGGTGATGAAATTAAGTCTTACCCAGACTCTGCTACTGTCTTGTGACTTGCTCAGAGTCACATCAAATTAAAACCTGGGCTTATCTGACTACAAAGCCTAGGATTTTAACTAATATACTTTAAAAGGGCAATATTGTAGTTGTTAAGGTAAAAACAGTTATTTACAAGCCTTTACTAGATAATCTTTAGTAGGCCTTTATAATAAAATCTCTATTTTTGATAAAATAGTAAAATGAACTGGGTAGAAAAGGCCCATGTATCCAAAGAGAGCATCATTATTTTGAATTATTAAATTATTATATTAGTTTAAAAATTAAGATTGGTAAGTCAACCCCATAATTATTTCCACCTTATTAAAAATATTGCTATATAGAAAATCATTAAAAAGTCTTACAGTTGAGAAATAATCATAAATGGCAATTAATTGACAAAGACAAACTAAAAATAATCATATATGGGAATTAATTGACAAAGACAAACTAAAAAATCTAATAAAAGTACAGAACAAAGCTTGCATTAATTTTACATTTATACATAAAATAAATCAATATCTGTATAAAACCTGTAAGCATAACCCATCCTATTTAATAATACTAAGTTTTGACAGAGAATTATTTTTGTCATATTAAACCAAACTATTTTTTAATAGGTTATATTGCGTACGTAACAAGAATAATTTGAAATCCAATGAGTTGTCATATTGGCCACATACTGTAGTCTTGGTGGCTTAAAATCTACACCAAGTACTAACCAAAATCTATGATAATTGCTTTATTTTAATAACTCTAAGTGTGAAACTTAAACTTTAAATGACTTACCACTATTTCTGTTGTAATTTCATGTCTGCTGAATTTATAAATTATGACATATGCAGAGACTCCTGAAACACAGAATATCCTGCTCTCTGGACACCAGTAAATCATCTGAATGGCATATGGATCTTCCTCTACAATTTCACATGTTTGTTTTCCTTCTCCTACCTTCTGTTTTTCAAACACTTTTGAGGTTTTTAGCTTGTACAGCATCTGCAGAGTTACTATAAGATATAGAAACATAGTTATCTTCTAATATGAACTTAATTCTTAGATGTTGTTGAAGCTTTTTCAATATCTTTGCTAAACCACAAAAATAAAACCCAAATAGACAAAATAAATTATATTTTAACTAGTAAGCATTCAATGTTATGCTCTCATATCAGTACAGTTTAGCTGGAGAGAGACTAGGGAAAAATTAAACATTTATTGAACATACATTATATACCAAGAAATACATAGGTCCTTTGTATGTATTGTCTCATGGGATCCTCAGAAAAGTCCCACGAAGTATTTTTATTCTCGTTTATTGATGAAAATGCTGAAGCTCAGACAGTTTACAGTGGGAATACTAAACATAATTCTCCAAAAGGAGACCCCTCAATTCTTTTTCACAATTTTCCCCTTTGATTACTAGATGAGAGGTTGATGCTATTCTTAGAGGGTTTACTCCTCTCAACAAAATTTTAGACACTCCTTCAGATGAGAAAGATTTGTAATTTACCAGCTAGCAATATTGGGAATCCAATAATCTGTAATTATTTTAGAAAGAATCTTTTCTGAATGGCCTAGGGTTAGGATATGGTCAGTTATAATTTTAAGAAACTCTGGGTTTGTGAATTGTTGTGATGAATATTTATTTGGGGGAATATTTTTTTTTCCATTTTAGACCCTGATGAGAACTCCCCTATAAAAAAGCTCAATTCTACAAAGGATCCTTACAAAAAGTTTTAAAATTCTGGGAGTTTCTGCCCAAAATGCATAATCTGAACCTAATCATAAGAAACATCAGTTGAATCCAAATTGAAGGAGATTCTACAAAATAACTTGCCTGAACTCCTCATAAATGTCATTCCATGAAATAAAGACTAAGAAACCATTCCAGATTAAAGAAAATTCACAAGGTATAATAACTAAATGCAAATAGTGATCCTAGATTTTTTTACTATAAAAGACGTTATTGGGACAATTTGTGAATACTGAGTAAGACTGGAGGTTATATAATAGTATTGTATAAATATTAATCTCCTGATTTTAATAACTATAATTTGATTATGTAAAAGAATGGCTGTATTTAAGGGAAATAACACACTGAAGTATTTAGGGACATGTAGTGTTAGAGGAGCATCATATCTGCAGTTGACTCTCAAGTCGTTACAAAAGCTATACACCAGGGGTGCCAAAAAAATGTATACAAGTGGACGCTTTGGTCAGTGTTGCTCAAGCAGTAGTTCACCGTAATCAGAAGTATCTGGGCACTGATGGTAACCACTCTGAGCACCTCTTGTAATTGCAGAAGTCAAAACATGACTTGTACTCATCTTTTGTCATCAGTATATATTGAGTATCACAATTTTAATATAGTTTTCCTTTCTTAAAATGTGTATATGTATTTTTGGCACCCTCTGTATATGTAAATATATAGGTATGTGTGTTTAAATATATGGAGGGGAGAAAGTAAGGGGGAGAAAGAGAGCACACATATGTACACAAGCATAACAGAAATGTACTATATACTGAATATACTGAAATGTACTATATACAGAAATGTACTATATATATTTGGGAATCGGGCTAAACATTATATACAACACTTCATTGTATTTAGTTGCAATTTTTTGGCAAGCCTGAAATTATGTCAAACTAAAATAGTTTACAAAATAGGAAAGGTAGGTGCTCTATCCTTGCTTCTAGGTCAAAATGGAAAATTACCCCCATGATTATTTTATGTGACATGGCAATAGTAAAAGAATATTGCTGACATAATCAAGGTCACTAATCAGTTGACTTTGAGTTAATCAACAGAGATCCTTAAGAGGGCTGACATAATCAGGCAAGCCCTTTTAAAAAAGGGACTCCCTGAGGTTAGAGACATACTCCCTCGCTGGCCTTGAAGAAACATATTACCATGAGATGTAAAATTTTAAGAAAATGAATTCTGCCAACAACCACATGAGCCTGGAAGAGGACCCTGAATCACATGAAACTGCAACCCTAGTTAACACCTTGACTATAGTCTCAGGAGATCCTGAGCAAAGAATCCAGCTAAACTATACCCAGATTCCTGACACACAGAAACTGTGAGACAATAAATGGGTATTGTTTTAAGTTGACAAACTGTGGTAATTTTATTACACAGCAGTTAAAAATGAATACAATAATTCAATTATTCAAATGCAGGATAACCTTACTTCCTGTACTAGGCAGTATTCCACAAAATTGGCAAACTAAGTAATATTTATTCAATGACATCCATTAAATTGGAGATTTTTTCTTATAATTGATTACAGTAGGAGTATTTAAAATGCTGCAAACCTTTGCAATATATGTTCTGAATGTGATAAAATAGTATCTTACTTAAAAATTAACTTGTTAAAATATTATCAGATATGCTTAAGGGTGGGTATGTACTCTATCATTAAAGTGTTAAAGTGTCTTCTCACATTTTAGAAGCTAAGGAGTGACTATGAGGTGGTGGGAAAGGAGCAACGACATTGCTATGTGATTAATTTTATTCCTGGAACAAATTTGGATTTACGTGAAAAGTTCACCAAAAGAAAATCTGTTGTTTTTTGGAATTTCCTCCTGCGCAATTGCTTATTGTGTGAGGTCATAAAAGGCCTCAGAATTCATGGCTTTAAATCTTAATTATTTTCTCTTGCTGATGGTTTGTTCCATTGCTGGAGAACTCTAGCTTACAGGCTAAGAGTATCTCAATAGTCAACCTTCTCCCTTCTGCTTTTCTGTTTATCGTAGTCTTTCTCAGAAGCTGTTCACTTATAGCTTTGAATATCACTTTTAAGCTGCATCTTCATTAGTTCCCATTCTTGACTATTTTTCTTACCTCCTAGACATTTTTACTTGATTTTCTGGTGTTACTACAAAATCCAAACTTCCAGAACTCTCTTAAAGTCCTTATTTCCAAAAGAGTTACCTACATCGTTCTGGTTAATCATACTCAGAAACTTGGAGTCATTGTTCGCCTCTTATCCTCCTATTCCTGACTGTCAAAATACTAACTATCTTCCAAAACTCACGTTATGTTTTACACCATCAAAATATCCTTCCTGGATCTACCTGGTTCAAATAACTCTCCCATTTCCAATAACATAGAATTTGGGTTGTACTACATTTGGAGTTCTGATCATATCACTTACCCTGTAGTTACATACACGCATTCCTTTCTCTTTTCTAGTGACTATAAATTTGCTGAAGGGTATGTATGAGTATAATCAAGTCTTAAATATCTTTCTGTGCATGCTCTTCAATGTTGAGCAAAGTACCTTATTTCCTCCTTACATTATGTAATTCTCAAAAATATAAAAATAAATTTTACATTTATCAAATCACTTCTTTTGATTCTCCCAGGATGTGGTAAACAAGTGGAAAAGAAAAGTGAAGACTAGTAGGATAAAAGCAGTTTTCCAAGGCCAAAGAACTAGAAGGTGAAGGAAATTACTTGAACAGAATTAATCTGAAAATTTTTGATACTTTTTCCAATGTACTATGCCTCTTGTAAATATAATGATTGGTGATAAACAGTGACTGCAATCCTGTATGTTTATATTATAAAAGCAAAGTGCAGTAAAAATATTTTAAATTGATCTAATAATATAGGAAACAGATTTTTGTAACACAACTATATATGTATACTAAAAATGTACCTGAAATGCTAATTGTCCAAACTAAAAAGTGCTGAATGGCTATGTTAATATTAACCAATTATTTTCTGTTATAGAAGGAGAAACTTAAAACTTACTTGCAGAAGCATCCCAAAATTTTATTGATCCATCTGCATGACTATATGAAAAATAAATTAGCATTAATTAAAGTATAATAAAAAATCATTCTAAAAGTATAAAACTTTAGTTACTGTTAAAATTCGATTTAAAAATAGCATTCCAATGAAAACTAGTGTATGCTAAACCATTTCTAAGTTCAAAACAATGTTTATTTTTTAAATAGTACACTAAAATCTAAATTTTAAAAGGAACAATAATGATTTAGATTTTACTGTAAGAAGATTTTATGAGAGCAATGAAAATTGGCCTGTGGAAAATGAGTAATATTTTTATATAAACCTGTTTACATTCAATAAATAAGATACCTGAATTAATTTTGATTATGTTAAAATAATTTCGAAGTGAATATCATGGTGAAATTAAAGGTAAGCTTCAAAATATGAAAAGCAAATCTTTAAACCTATCTAGAGTTGTATCATTATTTGGTAATTACATAATGGGAATTTTATAAGAACTCATCTAGAAAATAACATAGAAAATGCTTCCCAATGCATTTAATGAGGTCAGCTTTGCCCTGACACCAAAACCAGGAAAAAACATCACAAGAAAATTACAAATCAATATCCCTCAAGCATGGGTGTAAAACTGTGAAAATACCAGCAAATGAAATCAAGAAATAAATAGAAAGGATAATACATCATATTAAGTGGAGTTTATCCCAGGAATGCAAGGCCAAACATTAAAAAAAAAAATCAATCACCATGTTGTAATTAATCAAACTGACAGATTAAAAAAGAAAAACCACATGATCCTCTCAATAAATGCAGAAAAAGCATTTGACAAAAATTTATCATACATTCATGAAAAAAACAAAAAACTTAATAAATTAGGAGCAGAGGAAACTTCTTCAACCTGCTAGAGGGCATCTAGGAACAACCTGCAGATGTCTTACATAATGGTGAAAGAGCTGGAATACCTTCCCTCTAAGATCAACAAAAAAGCAAACATGTTCACTCCCACCATTCTTATTCAACATCATATTGGAGGCCCTAAATATTGCAACAAAGGAAGAAAAAGAAATAAAAGGAATAAAGATTGAAAAAGAAGAAATAAAATTCTCTCTATTTGCAGATCACATAATCAGCTATATAGAAAATTTCAAAGAATCTGCAGAAGGGATACTAGAACTCATAATGGATTTAGCACAATTATAAACTACAAGGCCAATGTACACAAATTAACTGTATTTCTACATAATACCAATAAATATTTGGAAATTGAAATGACAAAGCGGTAGCATTTACAAAAACATCAAAAAAACTTATGTAGTAAACACACAATGTGATATATAGATGATGTATTAGAGAATTACACACTTGAAACCTATGTAAGTTTACTAATTATTGTTACCCCAATAAACTTTAAATAAAAAACATATGAAATGCTTACATATAAATTAATACAATTTGTACTAGATCTGTATGCTAAAAACTACCAGATGCTGATCAAAGAAATCAAAGGCTTAAATAAATAGAGAGATACAATATATTCTTAAATTGGAAGACCTACTAGATGTCTGTTGTCCCCAAATAATGTATATATTCAATGTTATCTCAATAGAAATATGCCAGAAAAATTTTTTGTAGAAAGCAACAAACTGATTCTAAAATTTATGTAGAAAGGTAGAAGAACTAGAACACACAAAAGCAATTTTGAAAAATAAAAAAAAGTTTGAGGTTTCAAACTACCTAACTTTAAGTCTCATGCTAAATCTAGCACAGTTATTAATATTGGCAAAACAAAATAGATACATAGATCAATGGAACATAGTAGAGGGTCCAGAAAAAGGCCCACGTATATAGGATCACTTGATTTTTTTGAGAGGTTCGTAGTTGCTGACTGAGAGGTTTCATTTTGCTAACAGCTTTATTGAAACATAATTTATATACCATAAAATTCACTCATTATAAATGTACAGTTTGGTAACTTTTAGTAAATTTATACAGTTGTCCCACTGACACCTTAATCCAGTTTTAGAACATTTCCATCATCCCAAAAGTTACCTCATGCTAATATAAAATCCCCTTTCCCATCTCCAGTAGATACCCACTGACTACTTTCTGCCTAGATTTTTTTCCTTAGAGTTTTCATGTTAAGTGGAACCCACACAATATTTATTCTTCATGTCTCTGTCATTTAGCATACTGTTTTTGAGGCTAATCTCTGCCTTTTTGCATGTATCAAAATTTTTATTGCTGAATACTATTCCATTGTATGGATATACCACATTTGTTTATCAGTTGGTGGACATTTGGATTGTTTCAGTTTTTGGCTATTATAAATAAAGCTGCTATAAATGCTTTGCATATTTATGCACTTTAATTATTAATTTATAGATATAACAAAAAAAACTTTTATTACTGAGAAAGTCTACAGGATTATGGTCCGAAACTCTATATACTCTAGCAAGCTTTAATTCTATTTTTTATCATGCAATATTTGGTATGCAAAGAATAATACATGTAATGTAGACTTAATATATAAAATATAATTATATTGAAATTCTGTGAACCAGCCACCCAACTGAAGAAGTAACATTACTTATAACTTGTATCTACATATGTGTTCTTCTTTTTTAAAACTGAGGTATAATTGATATGCATTATATTAGTTTCAGGTGCACAACATAATGATATGATATTTGTATAGATTGAGAAATGATCACCACAATAAGTCTAGTTAACATCTGTCACTATACATAGTTACAGATTTTTTTTAAATGTGATGAGAACTTTTAAGGTTTACTGTCTTAGCTACTTTCAAATATGCAATACAGTATTAATTATAGTTACCATGCTGTACATTACATTCCCATGACTTATTTATTTTATAGCAACTTGTTTCTTTGTTAAGCATTCCCCTGGTTGTTATACGTTTTCTATTAGATTCTAGAATTGTATAAAAAATGATTCTGTTTTCGCCAGCTTAATCGTTTCTTTAGTGGTGGGACCACGTGCTACTTTGACATTTTCAGAGATGTAGCTTCCTGATATTTTAAAATAACTTTTTATTTAACTATAACCCATATATAGTACAAATCATAAGTTTATATCACAACAAAATGTCATAAAGTGAACACATATGTATAACCACCACCCAGATCAACATCACCCCAAAAAAGCCTTTCATCTGTCCCAATCACTTTTCCCACCTCTTCCCCAATGGTAGCCACTATCTTGTTTTTTAACACTATATTAGTTTTACCATTTTTGAAATGTATATCAATGGAACCATACAGAATGACTTATTTTGAATCTAGTTTCTTTTGGTCAACAATATGTATTATTTTCTTAATTTCCTTTCAGATTGTTCATTGTCAGTGTACAGTACAGATATGTAACTGATTTTGCATGTTGATTTTGTGTCCTGCAAATATGTTGGATTTGTTTATTGGTTCTAACCGTTGTGTGTGTGTGGTCTGGGGGGGGGGAGGAGAACTTATGAGTTTTCCACATACAAGATCATGTCATTTAAAAACAGATAACTTTAAATATTTTTTTTAAATTTGGATGCCTTTATTTTTCTTGCCTGATTGCTCTGGCTAGGTTTTCCAGCATTATGTTGTATACACATTGTGAGAATGAGCATCCTTCCTTTGTTCCTAATCTTAGAGGGAAAACTCAAGAGTTTTCCACCATTGAGTATAATGTTAGCTGTATACTTTTTATATATGCCCTTTATTATGTTGTGGAAATTTTCTATTACTAGTTTGTTAAGTGTTTTTATCATGAAAGTGTATCTAATTTTATTAAATACTTTTTCTGCATTATCTAAGATGGTCATGTGGTTTTTATCCTTAATTCTGTTTAATGTATCACATTGATTGATCTTCTTATGTTGAACCATCCTTCCATTCCAGGAATAAGTCCCACTTGATTATAATGTATAATCCTTTTATGTGTAGCTAAGTTCGGTTTGCTAGTATTTTGTTGAGGATTTTTGCACTGACATTTATTGGGGCTACTGTTCTGTAGTTTTCTTTTCTGGTAGTATCTTTGTCTGATTTTGATAACAGGATAATGACATCCCCATAAAATGAGTTTGGTATTGTTCCCTCTTCAATTTTTTGGAAGATTTTGAGGACTGGTATTAATAATTATTTAAATGTTAGGTAGAATTCTCTTGTGAAGCCATCTAGTATTAGGGTTTTCTTCATTGGGAAGGTTTTTAATATTTATTCAATTTCTTTACTAGTTATAAATCTGTTCAGATTTGTTTATTCCTTCATAATTTAGGCTTAGTAGTTTGTATGTTTTCAAACTTACAATTTTTTCTAGGTTATCCAGTTTGTTGGTATATAATTGTTCAGGGTAGGGGTTTTTTTTTGTTTTGTTTTTTTAAGATTTTATTGGGAAATTGGGGGTTGGGAACAGCGTTGGGGAATCGGGGAAGGGGAACAGGCAAGTTGCTGTCCTTTTGTTCTTCAGTCTAGTTGTGGAGGATGTTGCTTCACTGGCCCATGTTGGTTTTGTGATCATTGCGCTCTTCCTGGCTGAGGCAGATCAGTCGCCGGCCATTGGACGGCTGGCTCACAGCAGCTCACGCTGGCTGCCGGCCGCTCACAGTAGCTTATGGCAGCCCACTGTAGCCACACTGCAGCCTACGCCGTGGCTGGCGACTCACGGCAGCCCAGCTCCAGGTTGAGCTGTTGTTCACCATCTTAGCTGTAGAGGGCAGCGTCACTGGCCCTCATGTGGGATCCGAACCCGTGGCCCTGCTGCTCAGAGCTCGCACTGCCAAGCCAACTCTTAACCAATAAGCCATTTGGCCGGCCCCTGTTCAGGGCACAATAGTATCTTACAAACCTTTCTATTTCTGTGGCATCAATTGTAATACTCCTCTTTTATATCTGATTTTTGTTGAGTGTTTTCTCTTTTTTTCTTAATCTAGCTAAAAGTTTGTCAATTTTGTGGATTTTTTAAAAAAAAACTCAGTTCTACATATTTTTCTATTATTTTTCTATTGTCTATTTTTTAATGTTTATATCTGCTCTAATCT